CCACATTATAACGAAGAAAAGACAATGTAAAATGATGGGACCACTTGGAGTGATTACCCAGCAAATCATCTAACTGAAACCAAAGAGTTCCCTTATAGAAATACTATCTAAGCATAAATTTCTATATATTAAACTGTTCTAAGGCATACTGCCCAGAGAATTAGACATTAAAACATTATGTTCTAAACTTTACAGAAGAAAATCAAGGCAAACATTTAAGTAAAAGCGAAGACAGGAACTGGATAGTATTTAACATGCTGACATGTTAAGTGGGTTCAGGAAGACTAAACCCTGTGTAACACGTTTGGGCCACGATTTTTTTCTGTATGATTAAAGATGGACAACAACAACAACGAGAAAAACTTCATCAAAGAGTTAAATAAAATATTATCACCCAAATTTTCTTGTCTGATCAAGGGCCCTTATGCAGTCAGCTCTGTGGACAGAGGTATCCCCAAAAGAACTAGCTCTGCCATTTTTGGTGTTTATGTTGTTGGGTGCCGTCGAGTTGATTTTCAACACAGAGTGACCCCATGTGACAGGGCAGAACTGTTCCATATGGTTTCCCAGGCTGTAATCTTTACATGAGCAGATTGCCAGGTCTTTCTTCCGTGGAGCTGCTGGCTGGGTTCAAACCACCAATGTTTTGGTTAGCAGCTGAGCACTTAACAATTGTTCCACAAGAGCCTTTGTCATTTGGAAGAGTACTGACTGTTTGTTATGTAAACAACCCTGCAAACTTTTTAAGTTAGGAATATTTTTTTCCTTCTCTGAGTACTACATAATTCCTTCTGTTCTGTCCATTGCCTGAAATTATTCTTTTGTACTTCAATGCAAACCTCTATGGTGCCTTGCATTAAGTTTTTACTTAAATAAATAAAAATCAAAGAATTTGTTGTACTGGGGTGGCCCGCGTGTTGCTGTGATGCTGGAAGCTACGCCGCCGGTATTTAAAAAATGAGCAGGGTCATCCATGGTGGACAGGTTTCAGCAGAGCTTTCAGACTAAGACAGACTAGGAGGAAGGACCTGGTGGTCTAATTAAAAAAAACTGGCTAGTGAAAATCATATGAAGAGCAGCAGAATACTGACTGGAATACTACCGGAAGATAAGCCCCTCAGGTTGGAAGGCACTCAAAATACAACTGGGGAAGAGCTGCCTCCTCAAAGTAGAGTTGACCTTAATGATGTAGTCAAGCTTTCGGGACCTTCATTTGCTGAAGGGACACAACTCAAAATGAGAAGAAACAGCTGCAAACATCCATTAATAATGGGAACGTGGATTGTACAAAGCATGACTCTAGGAAAATTGGAAGTCGTTCAAAATGAAATGGACCATGTAAAGATTGATATCCTAGGCATTACTGAGCTGAAATGGACAGGTATTGGCCAGTCTGAATCGGACAATCATATGGTCTACTATGCCAGGAATGACAAACTGAAGAGGAACAGCGTCGCAATCATAGACCAAAAGAACATTTCAGGATCTATCCTGAAGTACAATGCTGTCAGTGATAGGATAATACCCATACACCTACGAGGAAGACCAATTAACACAACTATTACTCAAATTTACAAACCAACCACTAATGCCAAAGATGAGGAAATTAAAGACTTTTACCAACTTCTGCAGTCTGAAATTGATCAAACATGCAATCAAGATGCACTGATAATCACTAGTGACTGGAATGTGAAAGTAGGAAACAAACAAGTAACAGTAGTTGGAAAATATGGCCTTGGTGATAGAAGCAATGCTGGAGATCGCATAATAAGAATTTTGCAAGACCGGCAACATACTCATTGCAAAGATCTTTTCTCAACAACATATAGGGTGACTATACACATGGACCTCGCCAGATGGAATACACAGGAATCAAATCAATCACATCTCTGAAAACGGACAATGGAAAAGCTCAATAGCATCAGTCAGAACTAGACCACGGGTAGAATGCGGAACAGACCATCAATTGCTGATACTCAAATTGAAGCTGAGGAAAATCAGAACAAGTCCATGAAAGCCAAAGCACGATCCTGAGTATATCCCACAGGAATTTTCAGCCTACCTCAAGAATAGATTTGACATATTGAACACTAATGACCAAAGACCATATGAGTTGTGGGATGACATCAAGGACATCATATATGAAGAAAGCAAGAGGCCATTAAAAAGATAGGAAAGAAAGAAAAGACCAAAATGGATGTCAGAAGAGACTCTAAAACTTGCTCTTGAATGTCGAGTAGCTGAAGTGAATGGAAGAAATGATGAAGTAAAAGAGCTGAACAGAAGATTTCAAAGGGTGGCTTGAGAAGACAAAGTGAAGTCTTATAATGACATCTGCAAAGATCTGGAGTTAGAAAACAAATGGGAAGACATGCTCAGCATTTCTCAAGCTGAAAGAACTGAAGAAAAAATTCAAGCCTTGAGTTGCAATTCTGAAGGATTCTTTGGGCAAAATACTGAATGACATAGGAAGCATCAAAAAAAGACGGAAGGAACATACACTCACCCTACCAAAAAGAACTCGCCAACTTTCAGTCATTTCAGGAGGTAGCATGTGATCAAGAACCAACAGTACTGAAGGAAGAAGCCCAAGCTACAGGCATCAGTGAAAAACAAGGCTCCAGGAACTGACAGAATACAAATTGAGATGTTTAACAAATGGATGCAGCGCTGGAAGTGCTCATTTGTCTATGCCAAGAAATTTGGAACACAGCTACCTGGCCAACTGACTGGAAGAGATCCATATTTGTGCCCATTCCAAAAAAAGGTTATCCAACAGAATGCGGACATTATCCAACAATATCATTAATATCACACGCAAGTAAAATTTTGCTGAAGATCATTCAAAAGCGGCTGCAGCAGTACATTGACAGGGTACTGCCAGAAATTCAAACCAGATTCAGAAGAGGAGGTGGAATGAGGGATATCACTGTTGATATCGGATGGATCTTGGCTGAAAGCAAATACCAGAAAGATGTTTACCTGTGTTTTACTGACCATGCAAAGGCATCTGACTGTGTGGATCATAACAAATTATGGATAACACTGCAAAGAACAGGAATTCCAGAACACCTAATTGTGCTCATAAGGAACCTGTACATACACCAAGAGGCAATCGTTCCGACAGAGCAAGGTGATACTGCATGGCTTAAAATCAGGAAAGGTGTGCATCAGGGTTGTATCCTTTCACCATACTTATTCAATCTCTGTGCTGAGCAAATAATACGAAAGGCTAGGCTATATGAAGAAGAAAGCAGCATCAGGATTGGAGGATGACTCATTAACAATTTGTGATATGCAGATGACACAATCCTGCTTGCAGGAATCGAGGAGGACTTGAAGCACTTACTGATGGAGATGAAAGACTCAGCCTTCAGTGTGGATTATACCTCAACATAAAGAAAACAAAAATCCTCACAACTGGACCAATAAGCAACATCACTATCAATGGAAAAAATACTGAAGTTGTCAACGATTTTATTTTACTTGGATCCACAATCAATGCACTTGGAAGCAGCAGTCAAGAAATCAAGCGACATACTGCAGTGGGCAAATCTGCTGTAAAAGACCTCTTTAAAAGTATTGAAAATCAAAGATGTCACCTTGAGGACTATGGTGCGCCTGACCCAAGCCATAGTATTTTTAATTGACTCATACATGCGAAAGCTGGGCAATGAATAAGGAAGATAGGAGAAGAATTGATGTATCTGAATTATGGTGTTTGTGAAGAATACTGAGTATACCACGGACTGCCAGAAAAACGAACAAATCTGTCTTGTAGGGAGTACAGCCAGAATTCTCCTTAGAAGTGAGGATGGGGAGACTATATCTCACGTACTTTGGACATGTTATCAGCAGGGACCAGTTCCAGAAGAAGGACATCATGCACTCCAACTACTGATCCTTCTTCTTTGTTTCCAACTTTCATATTCTAAATCACTAGTAATTTTTAATGCATCTTGACTGCATGTTTGATCAATTTCAGATTGCAGAAGTTGGTAAAAATCTTTAATTTCTTCATCTTTGGCATTCGTGGTTGGTACGTAAATTTGAATGATAGTTGTATATTAACTGGTCTTCCTTGTAGTCATATGGATATCATGCTATCACTGACAGCGTTGTACTTCAGGATAGATCTTGAAATGTTTTTGGACGACGAATGTGATGTCATTTGAATCTGTCATTCCTGGCATAGTAGACCATATGATTATCCAATTCAAAATGGCCAATACCAGTCCATTTCAGCTTACTAATGCCTAGGATATCAATCTTTATGCTTTCCATTTTATTTCTGACAACTTCTAATTTTCCTAGATTCATACTTCATATATTCCATGTTCCGATTAACTAATGGATGTTTGCAGCTGTTTCTTCTCATTTTGAGTCATGCCACATCAGCAAATGAATGCTTGATTCCAACCATGTCAATTAAAGCAACTCTACTTTAAGGAGGCAGCTCTTCCCCAGTCATGTATTGAGAGCCTCCCAATCTGAGAAGCTCATCTTTCAGCACTATACCAGACAATGTTCTGCTGCTATTCATAAACTTTTCCTTGGCCAATTTTTTTTAGAAGTAGATCACCAGGTCCTTCTTCCTAGTCCATCTTAGTCTGGAAGTTCCACTGAAATCTGTCCACCATAGGTGACCCTGCTGGTATTTTAAATATCGGTGGCATAGCTTACAGCGTCACAGCAACATGCAAGCCATCACACTATGACAACCTGACAGAGGAGTGGTGGAATATATATATTAAGTATAATAATAAAAACTGACTCAAGGACGCGATTTGCTAATCACATAAACATCTTCAGTGATTTACTATAGGTTTTCAAGGGCAAACTTTAGAAATGGAAGTGAGCACACTGTTAAGCATTTGAAAAAAGCTGTGATATAGCAAGTATACATATCAGAATTAATTTTCATTGCTAATCTGGTGACATAAAAATTACTGAAACATAATCAATCACTAGCATAAGAGTTCTAATCACCCTCCTCTTACCTTTTACTTGTGGTACATATGGCACGGACAATCTCTCAACACTGTATCCACTTCCACCTAGTGACTCGGCAATCTTATTGGTCAGAAAATACAAATTTTTGTCATGCTTCTCTAAAGACTTTGGAAGCCTGTCAGGTTGATCAAAACAACAATTATTCAGTATTATTTAAATTACTGGACAAAAGTACATTAATTGCAAAACATTCTACAGCAAAAACTCCCACATTCTAAATTTAAACAACTTATACTGTAATTTTTTAGGAGACTAATTTGAGCTATTTAAACACACATGGTAAGTGGTCCCTTATGTTAACCATTCTGCTTTTGTCCCGCAATGACGTTGTTCCAATAGTGAATTCAGCCTTAGATTACTCTGTTGGTATTCACACATTAAATGATGAAGGACACTAAATTCAGCTCTAACTTTCATGCTAATTAGAAAGTCACTGAGAGAAGAAACTAAAAATGTAGCTCACTGATTGTTCATGAAAAATATATTAGCCAGCTAAGTGACAGGAAGCACTTGTCCAACCACGTAAGATTTTACTTTCTTTTCAAACTGCCTGATACTATTTTATGCTGGTTTCTTCTATACCAAACTGTTTTCAGAGCCAAAAAGTTTGAATAAAGCATTATTCACAGATTTTTTAAACATTTTCCTTAGTATATCCTTCTCCCACAGTTTTATGAGTATTGCTATTATTATTGAAAGTCTTCAACGGGATACTGTATTCTCTTAAAGGAGTGTCCATTTACATATGCCAACATAAAAAATGCTATGTTTAAGAAATGTATCTCTGTAATTTAAAAAGGTTTATTTTTTAAATTATTTATTTTTTAAATTGAAGACTGACACCATGTGTGCATGAGTCTACATTTATAATGTTAAAGAGAAAGAAGCTAGATGAATTAAATGACAGATACACAAAACAGTGATTATTACAAGCACAGAAAATCATTATAACAATAGTAAATTCCTAAATAATCATTACTGATCGGTTTCTCGAGTCAGTGCCCCTTTCTTAAAATGTAAAGAGTTAACATACGTGTACTTATCTCTGAAAATATGCTCTGGCAGAAAATAAGGGGCTTCCATAGTTCGAATTTCAATAACCTGAAAAACAGCCAAAAACAAAACAAAACAAAAATAAAAACCTCACCTCTCATGACCTTACTATGAAATTTTGGAAAAAAAAAAAAAAAATTTAAACATTTATAAGAAATATATTTATTTTATTTTGGAATTAGTCTAAGTTAGAACCAAAACGCAGACTCCATTTTGTTTTCACATTCATTATTTAAAAAAATGTAGCAATAACAAAATCATGATAATTTAACTAAATAACCAAACCCCTTGTCACTGAGTTGATTCTGACTCCTAGTGACCCTATAGGATAGAGCAGGGTTTCCAAGGCTGTAATCCTTACGGAAGCAGACTGCCACATCTTTCTCCTGCAGTGTGGCTGGTGGGTTCAAACTACTGACCTTCTGGTTAGCAGCCAAGCGCTAAACCACTGCACCACCAGGGCTCCTTATTACATGTAGTAAAAACAATGACACTAGCACCTTGTATTACATGTGGCTAAAGATACTGCGAAGGGATAGGAAACCCACAGCCCAGGGCACGAGGCCCTCACCTCCTCCGCCTTCTGTACTCCCTCTGGCAGCAGATGCAGGAGGGCGCCATGTTCTGGTGAGGTCTGGCTTTGTACTGGGGTGCTCTGCCTTTGCCATATTTGTATCTCTAATCGCTGGCATTAAATATGCACTGAAATGTTTATTTAATGAACGAGTTTTATTTCTTAGGATGCACTAAAAACTTACCTTTAGCAAAGACTGCCAACTTCATAAAAATGAGGTTCACCCTGACAGATGTCTTTAAGGAATAAAAATTTCAGTGTACTTTTTCTGCCTGGCATGTTAGGGGCTTTTAAATGTATATTAAATTACACAAGTAATTATTTAATGAGTTATTAGTGAAAAAAGCTAAATACAGTTAGATGACATCAGACAATTCTCTGAGAGGCACATTAATTATTCAACTTGTGAGATCTGCATCGAGTAGATTGATTAAAACAGTAAGAACAAGAAAACACGATATAATTTAAGAAAATTTAGATTCACACTGGCTCAAAAGGAAAAAATATATCTATGAGGAAATCACATGAAATTCAAGAAATTAAGAAAATCATGTATTTCAAAAGAGGAAAATACAGAACAAAATTTCAAATTCTCACGGAATCTATACTTTCTGGAGCCACTGAGGCTGGATGAACCACCAAACCACTGCCCTGAGATAATCTTTAAACCTAAAATCAAAAATACTCCCTGAAGTCTTCTTTAAACCAAGCAATAGTTTAACACAATTAGTAAAGAATGTCCTGAGTATTGTGCTCTTTTAAAGAACTATCTATATACCAGGAAACCCTGGTGGTGTAGTGGTTAAGAGCTACAGCTGCTAACCAAAAGGTCAGCAGTTCAAATCCACCAGACACTCCTTGGAAACTCTATGGGGCAGTTCTACCCTGACCTATAGGGTCACTATGAGTTGGAATCAGCTTGACAGCAATGGCTTTGGTTTGGGTTTTTATCTATACGGTGTGGTGGTTAAGTACTCGGCTGAGAACCTAAAGCTTGGTGATTTGAACCCACAGGCCACTCCACAGAAGAAAGATGTGGCAGTCTGCTTCTGTAAAGATTTACAACCTTGGAAACCCTATGGGGCAGTTCTACTCTGTCCCACAGGGTCCCTAAGAGTCAGAATTGACTCGATGGCAAGTTTTTTTTTTTTAAAAATCTATGTGGGATCAAACTGACAACATCAATTCAAAAGGTTAAACAGGAAGTTTAGGGGACAGTGAGTTTATGTTAATGGGGGAGGAACAATTCAGAAAAGGAGGGTGAGAACAGATGCACAACTTGAAGCGGAAATCCAATGTCATTGAGTGAACAGTGCGTGTGGAAACTGTTGCGCTGATGTATATTTTGCTGTGTGTATTTTCAACAACAACAAAATTATTTTTTAAAAAAACCCATGTATTCCATTCAAACACTACATAAAAAAATTCTGATAAAATAACAGGAATCAAGGAAAATATATGAAAACATTAGGTGTAGTTTTAGCTGTAGATCCAACTTAATCACTGCATATTTTATGGAATTATTTTAATAACTTGATAGTCACCAAAATTAAAAATAATCATCACTAGAAAAAATTAGCCATTTTTTTGGGTAAAAATCAAGTTCAAGGACTTTTGTACATATATTACCTTGCTAACATGCTGGCAAAATGCAGGGACAGCTATCATCTGACTGACGAAGTTGAGGTATGCTGCAACCAGCGCCATGATTCCGCAGCGCTGGAACATTGGCAAATTATCCTCGTTGATAATCACACTGTCCTTTAACGAGAAACACACACATCCAATGGTTCAAGGTCTTATGCTCCATTAGAGTTTTCTCTTTGATTATACTGGAACACTGCGTGTAGTCTGGAATGCTAACCAAAATGTCACCTTATAAGAAGTTATTTTTTAGAGGTATACTGAAAGGAGAACACATGGCCATTTACAGGAGTTAAATCGCTCACAGTAAATGTCTCTTCCTTAGGAAAGCCTTTCCTGTTCTCTGTTATATGCACGTGTCCACTGCATACTGTCCTTTTATTAAATAGCACTTTCACAGCTCCAACTGAACAACTGAATATATGTAATTACTAATGAATGACTATCTTCCTCACTAGACTGAAAGGAGAATGGGCCTAGGAACCATGGCTGTCTTTTTCATCACAACACTGAGCACATAGGTAGTGCTCATTCAATATTTTTTAAAAGAATAAATGAATGTGATCATAGTCGAGTAGTTTAGATTGACAACTTGCTACCTCTCTAAAAATCCATGTCCTTGGATAAAGGCAACAACACTTTAAAAATGGTGGCTGCTTCATAAAAATTTTTCTTCAATGAGAAGGTTATGAAATCATTACCTGTAAAGCAATCACTAATCGAATGAGATCAATAACCACTTCTTCATTGGCCAGTTCAATAGTTATAAGAGCAAGAGAAGTATAAAGTAGCTCGTAGTTTTTCTGAACATTGTCTTCCTCTTTACAGCCCAAATATATGTGCCGGTATAGTTGCTGCCCATTCTGAAAAGGGAAATGACAGAGGAAAAAAGACATATTTTGCTTAAAATGTCTTAAGGGCAGACTTCAGATACATACAACTTCCCACCAAGCAGATATCTTCCTACATAACATGGAGGTCAAACTCAAGCTAATGATCAGATGGTTAAATTGTATTCCAATGATTAGAACAAGCACATTAACACACAACTATCAACTAATGTTAGAGCTGAGGAACAAGCCTGAAATAAAAACAGCAAGTAAAAAATAGTTCTTGTATAAACAATGAAAATGTTTCTAGTAATACAGTAAAACCTGTGAAAGCCGGAACCTGTATAAGGCGGAAACCTGTCAGAGAAGGAAAACCCAAATACCTTCCACTAAAATGAGTAATAGAAAAATAGTTAAGACTACACCCTATCAAAGGCGAAACACTTGTGAGACCCAGAAAAACAAGGCAGTCCCATCAACTTCCAGCTCTCACAGGTTTCACTGTAATTTCAAAAAAAAAAAACAAAAGCAAATTACAGATCAATCTGAGAAACAGTGAGTTGCATGGCAGAGCTATGAGACAGTTCTGCAATCCAGCCTTGAGTCTAAACTATTTACCATGCATTTCAATGAGCATTTTAGGTAAGGCTATATGCAACAAAACTACTGAATTACCAAGTGTAATTAACGGGGAAAGGCACCAGGTGGGCATTGTTATCTGTTAGGGAACAAATGGTCTCCTGTGAGGTGGGTAAAGAGCACTTGCAGGTTCGGACGCCTTGGCACGGAGCACACAAAGGCAAGTCCAGAGCCTGTATGTAGCGGAGAGGTTAGGGAAACACCCCAGGGACTGCACAGGGGTTTTTGCCTAAACCAGACTAATCTAAGTGTGTTGGTAAGGACACAATACCCTTTTCTATCGAAAGTATTCCTGGGTCTAGGTCCAACTGCCAAGTGAGAGACTACAGAAATAAAAGGACATTTCCTAACTCAAACCACTATGCAGTAGTTAACTTGTTGCACTGGTTCTCAACCCTAGCTGTAAACCAAGATCACGGGGAGGGAGACTGGAATGACGACCACGCTCCTGCCTACCCCACACCTCACTGCTGCTGCCACTGCCCACCTCCCCATTGCCAATACGATTTAACTGGCCCATGGTGAAGCTCAAGCACCAGCATTTTAAAGCATAAAGCTCTCTAAGTGATCCTAACATCAGGGTTAAGAACACTAGCTAGAGGACTGCGAGTTCCCATGTGAAGGGACTTCAGCTTCACACTCCTGGCCTCTTTCTCAGCAGGTTCATCTGACTGATCAACTTAGGACAAGCAGCTGAGTAAAAACAGCTCAGACTCTTTGAAGCCAGCCTGTTGGTGAAAAACATGCATTCTGGTCTGTTCTCTAACAAGCAAGAAGGTCCCTCCCCTGGAAGGGGGGCCTGCAACTCCGCTGCTATGCCAGGACTGGATGGTCAAGAAGGTTTAAATCTGCGGTAAGGTGTTATAGCAAGCCTTTTTGGGCTACACATATAAAGCTATGCTCGTCTATCTGATACCTTTATTTCTGAGGTTGGCATATTGGTTTCTACCTTTCTGAATCCAGAGTCGGACTGCCTCGCTCTCAAATGGTTCCATATTTGGTGGGAAAGGTCTTTGGTATTGGGCCCTCTCAAACCCTAAGTGTACTCCTGAATCCTATGATCCCTGAACATCATTAACAAACACTAAAGCAGCGCTTACACATATGGGAGTGTGGGTTCCCTTAAGTGCTATGACGCAGTGGTTAAGAGCTTGACTGCTAACCAAAAGGTTGGCAGTCTGAATCTACCAACCGCTCCTTAGAAACCCTGTGGGGTAGTTCTACTCTTTCTTATAGGGTCGCTGTGAGTTGGTATCAACTCGACGGCGACAGGTTTTTTTTTTTCCTTAAGTCCTTAAGATATTCAAGTTTATTTTAAAAAAATTACCTACTACATACCCACCACATTAGATAAAACTGAAACCTAACAATATGTACCTTAACAACGTAGTATACATAGCTATAACCACTTTGGAAAGTGGTTTGGCATGACCTAGTAGATTTGAAGACTACATAACCTATGACTCAGCAATTCCTTTCCTAGGTATAAACCCTGGAGAAATGGGTATCATATACGTATACCATGACACATATACCAAAAATGTTAGCATTCACAACAACCCCAAAGTGGAAATGATTCAAATGTCCGTCAACAGAGAATGAGTAACTTGTGTTACATGAATATCATGGAACACTATAAGCATTTTTATATGGATGAAAGGGTAAATTTTACCAAAATTCATGGTATAAAATTTACCAAAATAGAGCTGAGTGAAATAAACAAAACATAAAAGAACCCATTATTCCTTTTAAACAAAATATAAACATAAAAACTGGAAAAACTAAACTATATTGTTTAGGGATGTACTGACATATATTTAGGTGGCAAAACTATAGAAAAAGAAACAATGTCTACAAAAGCCAGGAGAGTGAGTACCTGGAGGGGAGAGAATGGAGCTGTAAATAAGATGAGGCATGTGGGATGCTTTTGGTTATACTGTTGTTCACTTTAAAACAATTCAACAATGTTGGTGTATTTTATGTTTCATAATAAAGGGCACTTTTTGCTCCATAATTCCTTGACTTTATAGAACAGGAATGAGACCTAGCCCTTTCATATGGCGATATTCTTTCAGAAATGTATCTCTAGGAGAACAGCCCTGTCAGGCCAGGTAGATACACTGAGACTGAGTGGGAGCATCTGTTTTCTCCGATCTGGAAGTACAAGTTTTATCAGGGAATTAGAGATGAAGAGGCATCTCTTAACATAAATTGTAAGGAAGAAAACATAGCCTAGCAAAGAGCCAAAAAAAATAACACGGATTGTAAGGGGCTGAATCTATCTTCCTGTGGAACCCTAAGACTATCATTCTCTGAACCTATAAGGCTCAGGGCCCATTTAGCCAACAAGACAGTAAACATCTTGAGAGCAGTTAGCATGAGTGTCTGGAAAATACTAAGTATTCAAGCTTTGGATGAGTAATAACTGCAGAGAAAGTTTCCTCAGTATGCTAAATAACTTTAACCCATTGCATCAAGTCGATTCCCACTCACAGCAACCCTACAGGTCAGAGTAGAACTGCCCCACAGGGTTTCCAAGGCTGTAATCTTTCTGGGGGCAGGCTGTCACATCTTTCTCCTGTGGAGTGCTGGTGAGTTCAAACTGCCAATCTTCTGGTTAGCAGGCATCACTAAACCAGTCTACCTCCAGGGCTCCTCCAATAACTTTAGATATCATGATTTTGTAAATTAAGCTATTTGCCAATAGAACCTACAACATTTACATGATCATAATAAAGATCAAGCTACATACCACTTACTAAGGGCAGAGATCCTGCCTAGTTCACCTTTATATCCTAAACACTGCATAGAACAATGCCTAATAATAGTAAACACTCACTATATGTTTATTTAATGTGGATAGCTGTTTTAAAAAAAAGCTCTCTACATTAAAGAGGCATTACACAGGGAATCGGTATGTGTGTTTGGGGGGCGGGGGAGGTGAAGAATTATAGGGCAAGAATTAGAGGGGTCATTTTTACTCAAAGGAAAACATTCAGAATGATAAGAACAGTCCAACAACCCAGGCTGGAAGAGACACCATCAGGAACGTTGTGGTGATGTGGGGAGGCTGAAGACGGCGGCTTGAGGTCTTGTCAACTCAAAATTATATGGCTTCATTTTAAGGTTAGAGATCAATATATAAGTACGTAAAAATTCATGTGGTTATTATAACTTATATCATGCATTATTTTTCAGAAGATGATCTTACCTTTTTCATAAAACTTGCATCTTGTCTACAAATTTTTTCTCTTTTTATCTTTAGGTCAGCTACATCTGGTATTATTCTAGAAACAATCAATGTATCATTTTTAATGAACAGTATATTTAATTATAACACTTTACACAGGAAATCATACTTAGGAGTTTGAACTATCTAACATTCATTTTCAATGAACATTTTAAATAAGCCTCTATGTAATGAGATTACTGAGTCACTGAATTTAATTACAGTGAATTGCATAAAGTAATCTTGCCCTAATGCCATTCCTAAATTTAAATCATCCAAAATAAAATTCATGCATCTAATCACTACTACTAGACGAGATGATGGGAAGAGTACACTGAAAATCTCTCAAATATTTGCTATCTTAAACTACATTAATAATTAAATCATATCAATACTAATTAAATAAGACTCTAAATTAACAGAATCTGAAAGCCTTAGATTTTAAAAAAAAACACAATAAACACATTAATTTATAAATCAAAAAAAATTATCATTAAGCACATTTTAAAATGGCACATTACCTGATCCCTCGAAGCTTTGCCCTATTATCATGGCGATCCATAAGATTGTGCATGACTTCCAAGACTAACTGCCTTAGTTCATAGTCTTCCATGAGAGATGGCGATAACAAAGGATCCAGAAAGGACCCAGGCAGTGCCGTAACCATAGTCTTGGCTTTGTATCCAGAGGTTACCTGGTTATAGGGAGGATAAACAGCCAAAAAAAATCTTTGTCAGGATTGCTTCTTTAGGGTTAAATTCTGAAATTGTTTTATAAGAACCATAAACTTAAGGAAAAAAAGTATGGGCATAAAACCTGAAGGAAAAACTTAAAGGAAATTTGTAGGTGATGAAGAATTTTACTGAAGTTACAAAAATATCATTCATAAGGAAAATAAAATTAATAATGGCACATATTTACTGAACGCTCACCATTGTACACATACAGTATTAATTTCATCCTTACCATATTTCTGTGAAGTAGGTGCTAGGTTCAGAGAGGTTAAGAATATTTGGGTAGGTGAAGATGAATCAATGATGAATACGATCACTACAAAATAATACAAGACCTCACATTTTGGGTTTGCTTTTCCTTTTCAGCTCTTTATAGCCACCCCGCATTCAGAATGAAAATGTTGCATTTTTCAGAATTATTTTCCAAACAAGGAGCAATTTGGTGACTATGTGAAAGAAATAGCGTGACATGTATAATAAATACTGGATTTCAAGTCCAAGTTCTATTCTTTAGCTCTGTGACCTTGGGGAGACTCCCAACTCCTCACGTGGAGAGTCTCTTGAGCCCATCTTCTTCATCTAAAAATGGCAATGGTTTCTGTCCTCTGTACGTTTCATCATGATGAGAATCAAGTAAAATAATAGAAGTGAGGAATGAACAGTAAGAAGCAGAAGATCAAAATGAAATTGAAGAGCATAATACTTCTATATACAAAAAATATCAACCACAATAAAAGTAAGCATACACAGTATATTCATGACGTAAGGACATTAAGCTGACAATGTGAAGCTATTCTTTTAACCTTTCAAAAAAATTAAGATCGGTATGTCCTTCACTTGCCTTACATGCCTTACCATAAGTAAAGATCTCAGCAACATTATCTGAATTCGCCTTGTTCCCAAATCCCTAAAATATATAAAATGCTATTATTATTATTAGTAGTAGTAGTAGGACTAATATGTTAGTACTAATTTACATTTACATTACTTCATTTACTTATGCTATTATTTACTGATTTTACAACTCTATTCTTATTAGCTAAATAGATTTTAACAGTTAAAGTCACAGGTCACTTTGTACTCTAAGTAAATTTCATGTCAATTAAAGAGTTAAGTGTAAAAAAAAAAGATCATATTCAAACAAGAAGAAAAAAAAATTCAAGAGTATTGATTCTCAAAGCAAACAGACCTATGTATGGGACTATATGAGCATAAAATCATATGAAAGCGTAACTAAATAGTCCAAATTAAAAGAAAATACTTAGGGCAAATATTACTAACAAATTTAACATCTAGTTAACACATGTAAATACACAGGACAGACAATTCAAACAAGAATTAACAAATGGAAAAGGGGTTATTAATTAATGGTCATATAAATTAAAGAATAAGACATTATACTTCCTGATTAAATTAGCAAAACACACAAAAATATTCACAAACTAAAGCTTTGGCATGTTGTAAAATCAGATAAAATCTGTAAAATGAGGGGTCAAGAAGAGCAGATCTTTAATTAGTCCACAGGACTAATGGACCACAACTACCATGGCCACTGCCAGACTGAGTCCAGTACAACTAGAAGGTGCCCAGCTACCACCACTGACTGCTCGACTGGGATCACTACAGAGGGTCCCAGACAGAACTGGAGAAAAACACAGAACAAAATTCTAATTCACAAAAAAAAGACCAGACTTACTGGCCTGAGAGAGACTGGAGAAACCCTGAGAGCATGGCCCATGGACACCCTTTTAGTTCAGTAATGAAGTCACTCCCGAGGTTCACCCTTTAGCCAAAGATTAGGCAGCTCCATAAAACAAAATGAGACTAACGGGGCACAACAGTCCAGGGGCAAGGACTAGAAGGCGGGAGGGGACAGGAAAGCTGGTAATAGGGAACCCAAGGTTGAGAAGGGACAGTGTTGACATGTCGTGGGGTTGTTAACCAATGTCATAAAATAATATGTGTACTGTTTAATGACAAATTATTTGTTCTGTAAACCTTCATCTAAAGTACAATGAAGAAAAAAAAAAGCTGATCTTTAGAATTACTTTCAGTTCTAGAATTCTAAGAATAACTCCACATATTTACTATTCTAACATTAATTTAAAAAAATTTTACAGGAAACTTGAAGCTTCAGCCTAAATGTGTAGGTGTGCATAAAATGCCAAACAAACCTTTCACGTGGTCCACATAAGATGGTCCTTCATAAGACATAAAAAGTCTGAGAATTTATGATGCACCAAAAACTGCTGCCAAAAGCATGCAAATGTTGTTGACTCAACTGCTTAGTAACTTACAGCAATAAATACCAACTGCTTTCTGTAGGACTTCTATTATCAATAATTAAAAGACATAACTAACATTTTCTAGATTTCCTTAACATGAAATTTAACCCAAGATTAAGTTCAAATTTATATTTTGAGAACACAGGGAAACTGCATACCCTAGTTGACTGATATCCAAATTATGGGTAGTTGTTCCAAAAACGGGCACTTTTCCCATAATGAACATCATGATTTCTGACCTCTGATAATCTGGCAGGTTACTTCCAAAAAATCCTGTAATAAATATTAAGATAAATGTTACAAACTGAAAAAGTTTATTTTTCAATATAATAGTTTTAACCAAAACTCTCAGTATTTGTTAACATTATAATTACATTTGTCCAAAATCATTTAATCATGTACAATATAAGAGGTATATAATGGACTCATTTTTAGATAAAATAATAAATGTCTGAAACAGTATTCTGCATACATTCTACAGTGGCAAACCATCAATTTGAGCTGACTGGAGTTTCAGAAAAGAAGAAAAAAAAAAGGCTTTTGGTAGTATTTCTGATGAAAGAGTTGTTCATATATTATAAGCCTAAATTCCTGTCCTGGTAAAGTCAGTAATTAGCCCACCATCTTGGATTCCTCAAATTGAATTGGATTGCTCAAATGTTTTAGAATGTCATTTATAACAAGCCAGGTTTACAGTTTAACCTCATGGTTTAACTCAACAAACATAATTTAAATGATGTAAAAAAAAAAAAAAAAACAAAAAACCCACTTATTTACTTGTTATTTTCTCACACTCTTAAGTTGTGAGGATTTTTTAAATTTATCTGCTGTTGCTTTTGATGATTTACCTGCTGGTCATAAAAGCAGATTTACAACATTTAATTACCATCTACTCAAACTTCACACTTTCTCATTTCTTTTGAGGGATCAGAACAGGTATCAAATCTTGGCTGCTTTTGTTCATTTCTTAAAATGCAGCATAACCATTACAGAAACCTTTTACATTTTCAATATTTCTTTAAGAATAAATTCGGTGATCAATTTAACACTTCAGTTGTTATTACCAGAGTTAATAATCTATTTATACAAACCCAAACTGTTCTATGCACCATTTTGATTGAGCCTAGAGGTAAAATCATCTCCCATTATCACATACGTTTCCTACCTTCAATCAAAAAACCCATGAACATAACATTGCTTAATCTGCATAAAGTATGACTAGTCTAACTAACACGGATCACATAGTTATGGGCTAAGAAAGTAATTTGCACATATTATCTCTGGATCCTCACAACAATCTTATGATCCTAGAAGCTATTATTAGCCTCAGTTTCCTCTTGCATAGAACTCACACAAGAAAGTACACAACTAATACTAAGGCTTGAAGAAAGGGCTATTTATTTTATTTCCAAAGCCTATACTAGTTTTACTCTATACACCCCCATATAAGTGATTTTTAACTTTCCAAGCACCCAGTTAGACATGTTCCTAACCACTCACAAAACTGGATGTTAATTTTCTGTTCCAAGCAATTATTACTACAAGAACATAAAATAGCATGCACTTTTGTTTAACATAGATATTTAACAGAAGATTGACCAGCTGTAGTGTTACAAGCTTAGAGAGTTAACAAGCACCATTATACTTCCCTGTGTTCAACAACACTCGGATCATTAATTGATGATTATTTCTCCTGCTTCTCTAAAGTGTGGAATAGTTTCTGCAATCCAATGGTTCCCAAAATCTGCTGCACATTAGAATCATCTGGTGAGATTTTAAACTCCTGATGGCAAGGCTGCATTCCAAACCAATTAAATCAGAATATCTGGAGGTGGAAGCCCAAGCGTCAGTATTTTTTAAATACTGCCAGGTAATTTCAATGTGTAGCAAAGTTTGGGAACCATGGTCCTAAGGAAACTTTTATTTTCTCTCCCAAGTTATATGATCAACTGAATCCAGCTCAGCAGATGCTAAGTAATGATAAGACTTAAAAAAAACTAAGGATAATCACAGGAGGACAGACATGCAACTAATTTATGCTTTAAAATTTATTGTTTCAAATTTAAAACTAGACAGAAGTGTCCAACAGGATCAACAGTGAAGACACAGTCTTTAAAAAAAGCAGCTTACTCTCTATACCCTTTGTTATTTGGAACTGCTGAAACAAATACTCATGACCCAAAAAAAAAAACATAGCCGGAATCTACATGTTCTTAAAAGGAAGAAGGACTTGGCCAACAGCCTCATAATGTAAAGTGCAAAAGCTACAGTTGTCCCCGTCTATGGTCCACCAGCAGGAACAGCGACACAGTCTAATAACTACCAGAATACAGTGAACTTCTTGAAGATTAAGGAAATCAGAAGTGTGATTAAAAAACACCTTACACACTGTGCCACACTGCATTTCTTTTCTCTCATGTGTTAATTCTCACATGTTCTTCTGAATGTGTTGTGTCACAGAAAGACTGCTGGAGTCTGCTAAATATACATTTTATAATAAAATACTCAAGAAACAGTAAATATTCTACAGTGAAACAGTAACACTGAACTAATTAGAAGTCACTAAAGCAATTTAAATTAATTCTGTGAAAATCAAATCAGCTGATTTGGTATATCATCTTAGAATATCACAGACAATCCACAAATAATCCAAATAAACTTGAGTCATCACAGAACCTAGGTTCACTATACTAGCACTGTTTTTAACAATAACGAGACTGTCTCTTTTTTGAGATTCATGGTAATATTGAATTTTATTATACTTTTGTCTTTTCAATCAATCCAAAAATCTTTCTTAAGCACCTACTGTGTGTTAGGAAGTGTATTAAACAAGACACACCTGGGCCTTTGCCCACCTGAGGACAATTTCTATGTGCCTGGTAGGCTATAACTAGATGAAGTGGTGGTACTGCACTGAGCAGATCACCCAAAGTCTCCACAGGTGACAGCCCCTTGCATCCTGAAGTCCTTACACACCGTGACAGTATTGTCAATAAAAAGGTGCTGAACAGAGATTCATACACGTATGCATGCACATACAGCAAAGCTTAGAAACAAGACGATCGAGAGAAAATTTGTATTAAATATCCCTATTATGAACAAGTAGCCAACAAGTGGGAAAATTATCCATATAAAAGGCATAAACCAAGCTCCAGGATAAATTTATATGACTTTACTATTAAAGAAACTACTAGTAACCTTAGAAATTAGGAACTAAACCCCAGAAACACAATCCAATTTTGAAATTATCATAGCAATCATGTAGTGACATTAAAATATGATCTGGCTATTCTAAAGAAGATATAGGGGGTAGTGTTTAAACTAGAAAAACAGTTTGCTTGCTTCACACAAATATATACAAACATGCTTGTTTATTTTCAAAAAGTCCTTTTAAAAGTCTAACCTATCATTCATCTTTGACAGATGTACTCTAAGAGTCAAGTACCTTACGTCATAGCTTTTTCAAAAATCACGGTTTTACCTAATAGGTTTGAAAAGTGAAATTTACTCACCTATTGTTTGAATGATAGCGTTCTGCACGATCTTCTCATCACTGTCTTTGGAACTTGTGCTTAATGCGGTACTGCAGGCAGAGCTCCCCTGTAAATCACTGGCTTCAAAGTCAACACTGAGACGCAGGTGTTTCAGTAAGGTGTTAAAGACTTCCAGGACGGTGGGGCCTGTAAGAAACCCCGAGCAGAGACACTTTTCCAATATTATGTACTCGAAATCAATTCTCGTACTTCTCAACAGAGATTGTTAGTATCTTCTAAATAATCAGATATAACTATTTATGAACTAATCCGTTTGGAGGACAAAAAGTAAATGAGAAATATCTAAATAAGAAAGTCTCCTAGCTATGCTGTTGTTAGGTGGCTTCAAGTCAGCTCCAACGCACAGCAACCCTATGTACAACAGAATGAAACGTTGCCTGGTCCTGCACTAGCTATACCAACGAATATTTTCTGGGCATTACGAGCAACTCACTGTTTGAATCTCTGGTAGTAACCACACAAAATGTGTCTATGCATATAAAGATTAACAAAAACTTTCTACCTATCTAACCTTGCCTACACTAAACAATGTGTACTGGGTCCATATTTAACTTGACTGCTGGGTCAGAATCCATAAAGTTATGATAATATAGTTCACTGTAGCATAGAAGACTTATTTGTCATCTTTTGAGACTGAAAAAGGAAGACTCTGCCTCAATAATTAGAAACTAACTGATTTATCAGATTCACGTAAACTGAATTTGCTCTGCTTTTAGTTCTATAAATCCTCTGCACATGTTTCCATCAGTACATCTATCATACTATATTTTAATGAGTGATTTTTATCTTTGCCTCCTACTCTCAACTCTGAGCTCCTCCAGGACAAGTATCCACGCTCAAATGCTTCTTTGAATGCAAAGGCCCTAGCAGAGCACCTAACACATAGTAGATATTCAGTAAGTGTCATGATTGAATATATTATCTGTATTGCATTTCATATTTCCCAAATTAAGTAATTTTCCTATTAAATAATGTGCTTCTGTCTCTTTAAGTTAAAAGATAAATAATGGAAAGTCCATACCCAAAATACCCATTCTTATTTGACACTGTGTTATCTATAAACATCATGATGGGTCAAAAGAAAGCTAGTACATATTTTTTAGCTGACATATTTCCACTTTGATTTTGAAGGAAAGAAATCATAACTAGATTCTCCTTCTAACTTTATATGTATGTAAGGGACCCTTTCATTCTTCTAATCCCAAGTAGGTGAAATGCCATGACCACTAACCTGTCCTCTCTCCCTGTTCCCCCTACTATCAGTCAGTTATCAAATCCTGTTGATTTACATTCCCATTTCTACTGCTGCCATCCAATGTCAAGTTCTTTCCCTCATGCTTAAATGATGACAGCCAGCTGTTATCTCTAACTCTTCCTACATTTTGTTGCCAGGTGAATTTTCCTATAGCATATCTCTAGGAAAGATTTGTTGTTGTTGGGTGCTGTTGAGTCGATTTTCAACTCACAGCGTCCCCATGATACAGAGCAGTACTCCCTGACAGTGTTTCCTAGGCTGCAGTCTTCATGGGAGCAGACTGCCAGGTCTTTTCATCCACGGAGCTGCTGGGTGGGTTCAAACCACCAACCTTGGGTTAGCAGTCAAATACTTAGCCACCAGGGCTCCTTTGAAAACGATTAGAGGAAACCTTTGAAAGCTGCCAATCAACTGTAGAACTATGTTTCTACTCTGGTGCAACTTAAAGCCACTTCTCTGCCTTCTACACCAACACCACACACGTTCCAGTCAAAGTAGACTACATAACCGTTTCTCACACTAACCCATTTTCCCTTCCCTCTCTGAACCCTGGTTTTCTCGTGATCAAATTCTGCCTTGCATTATAGTATTAGACAGAGTTGTCTAACCCCAAGTCAACTATAAGTTTCTCGTATCTGTATTCTCCCAAATGTTTAACACATAATTAGTATACAAAACCTGTATTAAAAGGAGGAAATGAAGGAGAAGCTGATTTGAAGGAAAACGCTGAACTGTGCATTAAAGATGTCTGAGAATAATCCTATGAAACCAAAATTTCCAGAGAAATTATAGCACATTAAACAATATGTAGAAGTATTCTCAGAGAAGAGTTTTCCATACACTGCTATTACTCTACTGAAATAGATGCACGCACTGAGTGAGTTTGTTACTGGTACTCACCTATGGAACCTTTAGCGGCAATGGCGACAGCCTCTAACAGAACCTGGATAATACCTGCTCGAACACGTGGAGAATCTTTTTTACGAGCATCAAGGTGTCCTAGAATCTCCTGGATCACATGGTGCGAATACTGAGCCTAAAGGCAACAAAACAGTACAAGAATGTAGGGACAAGTACATTCAGCCTGGTGGTATTCATAAGAATAAAAAAAAAGGTGACATTTAAATGTGCAATTATACAGGATTGATTAAATATATTATGGTATTCATGTTATGGGATGATATGTAGCCAATAAAAACCATACTTCTGAGAAATACAGATACTAGAATATATTTACTATACCTTGAGTGAAAAGCGCAAGTTGCAAAATACTATGTTCAATAAAATTCAAAATAGTTTTTAAAAAGTATATAAGACTAGAATTACATATAACTAAAGAATAACACTGTTTACCTCTGAGAGGGGATTTATGAGTAATTTTTATTCTCTTTCTATTAATCTGTGATTTCTAATTCTTCACAACAAACATTTATATACTCTTGTAATTTGATAATAGGAAAAAGTTGTTAAAAAAATAAACAGATTATGACATTTACAGTACTTCCTCCTTATCCAAGCTAGATGAATATTATTTCTTATGTGGACACCTAACAATGCTAAACAGTCAAAAATCTTATCTAATAAAGAGCCACTATCAAAATGAAAATCTTACCAATGTGTACCTGACACAATTTCAAAAATATCAGAAGACTTGTAGTTTATAAGCACAATTTTATCACAGATAAATGAATCTGGTCAATCACAGTGAATGATATCAGCACTAAATTAAAAAAACACAGCCAGAAAAAAGTTTAACTCTACTGAATATTTTTTTTTGTTTTTTTTTTGACAGAGTAGCAAGGTTTTCTTTAAACCTACCCATATACCCATGAGTCATGAGTGGGTCTACCACTCTGCGCCAAGCTGCAAAAAGAATGTGCCTGTGGCTCTGAATCTCCGTGTTTGCCTTCACACAGCCCCACAGCCTTATGTTCAGACTGGTTATACCTGAGTGTTCTTGAGCAAGTTACTTAACATCTCTAAAGGTCAGTTTTCTGACTTGTAAAATGAGGTAATATCTATCTTAAAGGCTTCCAAACCAAAACCAATCTCACTGCCGTCAAGTCAATTCCGACTCATGGCAACCCTACCGGACAGAGGAGAACTGTCCTACAGTGTTTCCAAGGCTGTAATTTTTACAGAAGCACACTGCCACATCTTCCTCCTCTGGAGCAGCTGGTAGCTTTGAACTGCTGACCTTTTGGTTAGCAGCTGAGCACTTTAACCACTGAGCCACCAGGGCTCCCTCCTCATAGGCTTAGGAGGATTAAATGAGATAAAGTATATAATGTAATTAGCACAGTCATAAGACATAGCTGGTTCTTGATGGATGCAGCTTAATGGTATTTTAATATATAAATTATAATATATACATTTAACATATATGACTTGCCCAAGCTCATATAACTAGTAAACAAACAGCACATCCAGGATGCAAATCCTGGAACTGCCTACATTAAACTCTATGCTGTTTCTTACTACCTTATCTCCTTTCAAACAATGAGTTGTTAGGGCATTAAAATATTTTTCCCATTGCCTTTCAGTCAATTCTGACTCATAGTGACCCTACAGGACACAGGAGAACTGTTCCATAGGGTTTCCAAGGAGCAGCTAGTGGATTCAAATGGCTTACCTTTTGGTTAGCAGCCGAGCTCTTAACCACTGTGCCACCAGGGCTTCATTAAAAATACAGGTGGTGTAAAAAAGACTTGAAATCCCACTTAAATTAAGAGCTAACTGGGTCTGTTCAGGTTTGGAAAAAAAACAAGATGGTCCTCTGCAGTAGATATGAGTATCTTTATCATCAGGTTCTACAAACACCACGCGATTTCATACATGGACTATCACACAGTACATACTCAATGATTTATCAGCTATATGCATCTATAAATATGAATTCCAATACCAGTTTATTATGAAATATAGTTAACACAATAAAGAGCACCATCATAAAATCATCTACTTCTTTTTATTAGGTATATTTCATCTTGGCAAATAAGAAAATAAGTGGTAAATGAGAAGAAATAATACAAAAAGTTAAATTAAGAATATGTTTTATGCCCTACAGTGTTCTATACCTCTGTTTGATGACCTGATATCTATATAGAATAAAAGTTACTTATATAAGTATAAAAGTTAACCAAGACATACCTGAATGGAATACATTATAATTTTAAAGCACTGAACTGCAAATTCATTGGGATCCCATAGTTTGTGATGATCTAAATGCCTGTAAGTAACAATAAAAAATTGCTTTGAGAATTACCTATTTTTATTATGTTTTTCCTCTAGAACCCTCAACTATATGCAAAGCTTAACAGTCAAAAGAATATTAACTAAAAGAAAATCAAGATTTACATTTCCAAAAATATGACACATGCAGCTGATTTTTGTTATTTGAGGTAGTTGTGTTCTATAAAGTCACCACAAACAGAATTAGAGAACACTGACATTCCCCCAAGGGAATAAAAGGTTAGGTTCCCGCGAGCCTCTGGTTATATTTTCATCAACCGATTAATACATACCCTTGTTTAATGTGTCTGTTTAGAGACACCTTATTTAATATACCTTTTGTTGATTCAATAACACTGAACTCGCATGCCTGAGTGAAGTTTATCTAACACGCGTATTCTCTCTGTAAAGCACATCACAGCCTTCTTGTGCTTAGCAACACTAGACAGTACTTCAGCATTACAACTGGGGGCCATTTGCAACAGTAAAATCAACAAAAGGCACAAAAACATGGAAGATGTGCCACTAAACAGAACTTGAAAAGGACACTGATTTCCAGTGTGAGAGCTGAAACAAAGGCAGCAGAGCGTCACCACGCTGACCTCAGCTGGGAACATGTGTGTTGAGCGACTCAGATTTTCTGCCCCTCTGCACATGCCTACAAATGAGTGTAAGTGTTGCAGGTATTGATTCTGGGGTCACAAATCAATTTAGCGAGGAGGCGAATCTGCAAATATGTAACCCATGACTAATGAGGGAGAGTCAACTGTATTTCCCCCAATCGCCAAACTCCGGCATAAAACAACCAAATAGATCAGATTTTTAAATACCAATGTGAGTGAACAAGAAAGGAAAGCCCCTCAGTCCAAATTCCCCAAGAAGTCTTAGCTTCCTAGATTTTCTAAGACCTTTACAGACCGCTGTGCAGTTAGCAAATACATTAAGATAAAAACTGGAATGCTGATGTTGCAGGAGCTGCCTGAACATTAACATGAAAATATGCTCTTAGTTAGATCTGACATGGTTCTGATGATTTCTTAGCAGCATTTCTGTAAGCCCACAGTCTTTAAGCAGTAGATCTCAATTTTTTGGAATCACAGAACCCTTTGAAAATCTAATGATTGATTTCTCGTGTAATTTTGAGGATTACAGACTCTGAAAGCTCTATCCCAAACCCCAGGCTAAGAACATCTACCTTAAGTAAAGCCTTGTAGATGTTACATTTGGACTACTTCAAACATGCTATACAGTCAGAAACACAAAGAACAAGGCAAAGGATAACAAAAGGAAGACTACTAAAATTTACAGAAATTATGCAGAATATTATACAGTAGATCTGTCATCTGATGACTGAGTTAGAACATAAAGGCTTGACAAAAGGGTGGAGAGTTTACGTCTATGTGGAGAAACTCAAAGCTCACAAATATATTCTGCCTAGAGGGTGTAAAGGAGATAAATAATATCCCTGCTCAGATTAGTCACTAGGTACAAACTAAAATTTAGAGAAGTGAACGGCAAATGTGGCCAAAGAACAGAAGCCAGGGAACAGAAGGAACTGACCACAGAAGTTAGGAAAACAAGTATGGCGCATTGGAGTTGGATGCTCTGTTTTAATATTTTGCTGCATATATGCAATTCAAAGTTTGTAAGTGGAAAATCAAGTTAAACGATGCATATGATATTATGTACATTATTATACTTCATTAAGGAGAAAAAAACTAGTTAAACAGTTGAACTAGTACTCAAACATGTGATGTCTGACTCAATCCTGTACTGCTTCTACATGTCACACTGGTTCCATTAATAACCTACTCATACAAGTAAAAAAGTAACAGTCCTCTATAAGTAAATTAACACAGGAAATTAATATTGCAAAACCACAAATTACTGCAAAAGGCCCAACTACTTACGCAAAGACAGGTCTAACAGCATTATTCATATTCCCAAAAGTTGCTCGACCCAGCAGTTCTCTGAAACAGTTTTCTGCCAGCACAGCGGGATTCTCTTCTTTGTCAGCTGTGGAAGGAGAAGCCGGAGGGCCTATTCGACTGAAATAAAACAGAGAGAGTAAAGTAGAAAAACTAATGCAAAAATTCTAATACTAGAATTCAAACAATTCAACAGAGTAGATTTTACTTTTTCAGAAATATTAAAATGACATGTCCTTTTATCCGGAAAGAACTTTTAACCTTAATTCTCCCTTCATGAATTTAACACCACCAATGCCTATCCTATAATCTTTTAAACAGGAAGAAACTAAATTCAGTTGTCTAACTTATTTGTAACTAAAAGAACATCTTTAATGTAGGCAAAGTACTTCAGCAGCTTGTTCTTTTGTTCACTTTCACATAACTTCTCTACATCTAAAGCAAAATTTTAATAATAATAACCATTTTTAGAGAACCCTAGTTTAACTGTAAGTGGGCGAAGATTGTAACTGTAAGTGAAAACCATACGATACAGGCCATGAATAACACACAAATTTTTAACAGCTAATTAGAATGGTTGCAGGCACAGACATCTTCAGTAGATGGTCACATCTAAGGAATTAAACAAACATCCTTGCTCTAATTATCATAAACCTAGATGAACATAAGTGCTCCGCAGAGTTAATTTTCTATTTTCATTTCTTCTAGACCATTTTATTTTTATATTGCACGTATAATCATCAAAGTTATAAGTAAAGCTTAAATTTTAGGACTACAGAATCAAATATCTTTTAAATTTGATTCAGATTTTCCTCTTCAAACTGGAAGAATCACGAAGGCCAGGATAATAAGCCCAGCTGGAGAATCCTGGTTGTGATACGTAATCACACATCACTGCTGTGTGTGGCAACAGAAATGTGGAGGGCAGCATGCTCACAGCACTTGAAAAAGTGGAAGCAGTACAGAATTCTCGGTGTGAATGGATGCTGTGAGGGACAAAAATCAGCATATATCCCCAAACAACATCCCATTCCAAAATATCCTAAAAGAATGAAGCAGAAACGAACAATGTCTAATGTTTTTTTGGAGAAAAAGAAGTAAAATGTACTGAATAACTATTATTATTGTTATCATTGTAGTCATTATTATTACTATTATTTTGGTTAGTTCTACCTCCCTATGAGAAAGTATGCTGGAGCTCTAATGAATAACAGATGTTTAGCTATAATTTCTATTTCTCAGACTTGCAACTTTAAGAAATGTTAATTCAATAGCAACTTCTATGCTCAATAGTAAGTAGCAAATAAAATATAAATTTATTCTAAAACAAAACCTTAAGTTTTTTTTTAATAAAGCCTAATGTGATCACTAAAGATTACTTTTCAGAAAGAACATTTTACACTCACCTAACCTTACAACATTACTATTTAAATAGTAATGACAAACCTTTCTTACTTAGCAAGCACACACACATATATACAAAAGTAATGCAGCCTCAACCCTAACATCTTTTATTCAATACCTGTCCACTTCTTCTATCTTCTGCATGTTAAACAGCAGGGATGGAACAATCTTATCCATATGCTGGGGTTCCCAAATGGTAGCCCGAAGTTCATCATTAACCGTTTTGCGAACCACTCCTTGAATACCCCTTATTCCAGCAATTCGGATTCTAAAAGAGAGAAATAATTTTAGTCATAAAATTATGACTAGCTAAGGGAATGGATACTAAGTGACTACTGTTACCTTAAGTTAATAAAATAAAAATAATACGCAATAAGTCTAAGAAATTAAAATCTCAAAGATCTAAGAGGGACACAGAAATACAGCAGTTGAATATCATCTTTGAAAAATCAGCATTTAAAATTTAAAAAGATTGAAAATAGAGATATAGGAATATCTAGTCTGTGTAATATTTTTCAGTAAAAATAATTTAATCAAAAGCACTGTTATTTCTGTTAGGTTTTCCTAAAGTGATAATAATAACTCAATTATGAGCTAGAGTCTCTCAGTTTCTCGCTGAGAAGTCTCAGAAGCTCAGTGAAAACAGGCTTTCAGTGTGCCAGCACACTCTCAATGCTTCCTTAGACCTTCCCTTCACTGTTCCTCCCTAAGAGCCTCCCACCTCCCTTAGTCCACCAAGACGGAAGCAGCTGGGTCTTTAGAGGTATGACAAATGAGAACCATCACAATGGAGTACAGATAACCTAAGTCAGTCACACACACATCAACACAGTGAGAGAACGTTGCCCAACCATCCCATTCTAATCCATAGCCCCAAACTTCCTCAAGCAAATTCTCGCTCTTCTTTAAAGTAAGCAATCCATAGGTTCAAGAATGGGAAGAAAAGAAGTGCAGAAGCTTATGAAAGCTAAGGAAGAACAGCCTCTCAAGCAGAGCTAAGCTGGTGGTCCATTTACCCCATCTGTCCTTCTAGCCAAATTTGATTGTTTTATACTTCCTTTTTTTCTGATAACTGAAATATTGACCAATAAGAGGTTTGTTCAGGTTACCAAGCATTATCTTCCACAGTCGGTAAATAGGTTTAAAGAATGGAAGATACAGGGAAGAGGATGCTATTGCTTTACAAAGCCGCGGGGAAACAATGCTGGTGTTCAGGAGCAGCAGATGGAGAATGAGATGTGACAGTAATATGACACTGGACAGGTGAGAAAAAGGAATTGGGAGCCATACAGATAGGCACATTTTGCCAATTTCAAGACTATCTATATATCCTGCTTTCTAAAAGGTAAAAAAAAGCAGCACATTCCAGCCATCCTCTCCAGAGGAATTTCCCCGTCAGTAAAAAAGAACAACTGTAGTACCTACCCTGGTGGCATAGTGGTTAAGAGCTTGGCTGCTAACCAAAAGGTTGGCAGTTCAGATCCACCAGCAGCAGCTCCTTGGAAACCCTAGGGAATAGTTCTACTCTGTCCTGTAGGGTGGCTGTAAGTTGGAATTGACTCGATGGCAACGGGTTTTTTTTGTTTGTTTGTTTTTGGTAGTACCTACCAGGGCTTCAGGAAACTCTGCTGGTGCAGTGGTTAAGAGTTTGGCTGCTAACCAAAAGGCTGGCAGTTCAACTCTACCAGGCGCTCCTTGGAAACCCTGTGGGGCAGTTCTACTCTGTCCAACAGGGTTGCTATGAGTCGGAATCCACTCGACAGCAATGGGTTTGGTGAGTTTTTTTTTTTTTTTTAACCAGGGCTTCCAACAGGTTCCTTCTGGTTCAAACCCCTGCTGAGAATTTGCATTTCTAACAAGTTCCCAGGCAATGCTAACACTGCTGGTTAGGGGCCAATTCTGAGTAGAGCTAAAAAAACCAACCAAACCTGTTGCCATCCATCCAGTTAATTCCGACTTACAGCAACCCTATAGGACAGAGCAGAACTGCCCTATATGGTTTCCAAGGAGCGGCTGGTGGATTTGAACTGCCGACCTTTTTGGTTAGCAGCCATAGCTCTTAACCACTATGCCACCAGGGTTTCCCTGAATAGAGCAGTGGTTCTCAAAATGTATTATACATAAGAATCACCTGGGGATCTTGTTAAAATGTAGACTTGGATTCAGTATATCTGGGGTGGAAAGGCAAACTCTCAGCAGGGATTCCAACCAGAATGAACTGGCTCAGAGCCCTGGTACCTACAGCACAGAAATTTGCAAGGACTTAAATGAGTTCATTCATGTCAAGTGCTGAAACAGTAAGTGGCACACAGTAAGCACTCAAGTGTTGGCTGCTCCTACTGTGGTTGTTGTTGATGATGATGATGATTGTTTCCACCAGAGTGGAAGGTTCTTGGAGTTAGAATTTGAGACTAGGGTGCATGACTTTACAAATGGGAATCGTTTTTGCAAGGCAAACGTTTTAAGAAAATCTTGACAGTTATCATCCCTGTCTCCCACCACCCTCCTTCCCATGAATCCTATTTGACAGTGTTTGGCTAAAAATAAAGGGACTAATAATAAGTTTCAAAGGTAGAACCTAAAAACGAAAATAAATGTTATTTTAGGCAAAGTAAGGAAAAAAATCAAACCTTCTAAGTATCCAAAACCATTTGTTTACTCATTTGTTTTGCAGTGTTTCAAATAAGAAAAGTTGGCATTTTGAAATTTCAAATATATCAAAAAGTCCTACAATTGGGTAAAAGTACTAAGACCCCTTGAGTTGGGTATAGAAGATTTCGAGTTTCTTCTTTTTTTAAACAATGAAAGCATTAAGTGAAAGTATGTTCAAAAGACAATGTATTTCACTAGGGGGCACTAAATACCTAAAATTAAGGTATCCTGTATAAAAAAGTTTTAATGTCTTAAATGCATCCTTTCATAAATATTACAGAGATCGTATACACTTTTCACCTACATTGGTTTATATGTGAAACTCACTTTAACCATAAATTGAGAAAATCCTATGTTTAATTTGTTGATTCTTATAATATTAAACAGAAAAGCAAACTACATTCTAGATAATTTTCTGTATTTTAAAAGAAAACAAAAATGTTAAAATCTCAAAAAAAATGCCATTTTCTTTAGCTAATCTTTTTACCTCTTTGCCCCATTGATAACATCTTCTGAGAACAGGGAACAATTTTATAAAACATTTTTTATAATGTCTTTTAGGGAGGAAAAAAGAGGATTGTAATGGTAACTGGAAAATGCAAGAAATTATCATACGGTAATTATACTATCTTGATCACTAAGGCTTTACCGCATCACAATAAAGGACTCTGAAGAGCCTATACTATTCTGCCTTATAAACCAAAAACCAAACCAAACCCATTGCTGTTGAGTTGATTCTGACCCTACAGGATACAGCAGAACTGCCCCATAGAGTTTCCAAGAAGTGGCTGGTGGATTCGAACTGCCGACCTCTTTGTTAGCAGCCAAGCAAGCTCTTAACCACTGCACCATCAGGGCTCCTTCTGTCTTATATTGAGGAAAAAAATACACTAACAGCATCGTAAACAGAAACTAAATCTTGTGTCTGAAAATGACCATTAATCACCACTCAGTTTTCTTTGAGTTAAGTAACTTCTATGCTTGTTTTCTTTTGTGTAAACCGACCACACTCCTACTAAAATCCATTATATTTCTATATATTCCCTTATTTATTTTAAAATAAAAATGACAAAACATGCTAAATCTTGACTATCGAATGTCCACAATGCTCAAATTCCTCAGGGTTTTGTCTATTTTAGATGTACTAATCTCAAAGCACTTTCTAGATTTACCAAGGTCATTTTGACTTTAATTCTTCAAAGTTTCTCATTTCTACATAGATATCACCTTGTAGTTGTGGTTGCAGGTAAGTATTTGATTCCAGATTATTACCAGGATATATCTAGAAAAAAATGTTTTACAATGCCCAAATCATTTGTCATGACAACCTCAGACTGACAGTGATTCAATAATATACATCCATTCATTCAATTTATCTATTTGTGTTCATTCAAAAAGTACTTATTGAGAGCCTACTGTGTGCCAGTCGCTATTCAAAATGCTAACGACAGAGCACAAAGTCATTGCCCTCATAGAGCCCATATTCCCCAGAGGAGAGAGAAGACACAGGAATAGCTCTGGGGAGGTGCTGTGGAGACAACAGATCTGATAAGAGATAAGGAATAACTACAGGTGGGGTGGACAGGTGGGTAGCTATTAAACAAATAAAAGGTAACCAAGGGAGGAGCCTCTTGAAAAGGTGACGTGTGAACAGAAATCTCAACAAAGTGAGATTACAAGCCATGTGGATATCTGGGGAATTGTTCCAGGCAGAGAGAACAATGAGTCCAAAGGCTCGGAGGGAAGAGCACTGTTCTGTTCAAGCAGGAAAGGACTGTTTCACATCAACACGGTGAAACCCATGTGAAACTGTTCACTACAGATTAGGAAGTAAGCACAAGTAAGCCTGTGCTTACCTTGCTTATTGGTCATTCGCCCCGTTAGGGACTGTAAATTTGAAAAGAGGCTTTGATTCTGTAGGAAGCTGCTGTGGGCTTGGGAGAGAGACAGATGCCAGCCAGACCTAGAAGCAGAATCTTCGATGTGGTGAAAAATGTGGAACTGTTCACTACAGATGATCTGGTAAGCAGGGCAAGTGCTGTCCTAGCTGGCCTATTGGATAATCTGCCCCTGTGGTCCAGGAACAGCAAGGAGGTCCATGTGAAAGGAGTTTGGAATGACAGAAGGGCAGGATGTGCACTGAGGCAGGAAAAGCATGAAGGAGCGTTCTAGGCCACTTAAGGCTAGATTTTATTCTGCATGAACTGGTAAACCATGCTCAATTTTGCTATTCTGGTTAGTTGTTACTAACTTATAACAGTAATGGAAAGTCATATTAGGGACAAAGCATGTATTTTCCTGTTTCCCTTGGTAATCATTATGTAGTACAGGTAAGTACAGTATTCATCTCTCTCTGACTATAATCATCAAGTAAAATAATACATACTCTGTTCGTATTTCTGGATCACTGTCACAGGAATGACACATGGCACTGAATCGAGACACAAAAAAGTCATAACGCCTGTGATAGGAGGGTGTGTCCTCTTCAATATTTGCAAATTTGACAAACTAAAAAACAAAAATAACCACATAAATGTTCTATCACCTTTTCAAATTTATGGAACAAACACATTTACTTGCATTCCGTACCTGTCGCATTAACAAGAAATATCCATGTAAGAAGCAACTGAAATATGCTTACCACGTATACAGAATTTCTTAGTAAAGACTTTTAGACAATCAAGGATATAGGTTTATAAACAGTAAACATAACGTCTTAATCTAGTTCCTGATGAGTGAGGGAACCCACTCTCTGGAAGTTCTTACTCTTAAAGCCCATCTACATTCCTACAGGCAGGTGATAATGGTTCACTAACAACCTCAGTTAAGCCACAGCCTCTAGGGAATTTTATTTCTTAATCATGAGAAGGAAATCTCCTTTGACAGCCATTACAAAACACATGAATGAATACTTATGCAAATAAGATGGGACAAAAGAAAGGGACATAGTTCACGTCACATAGTCACATAAACCAGGGCTTTGAACTGGTTCGGTCCGAACCCCTGCTGAGAATTTGCATTTCCACCCCAGATATACTAAATCAGAATCTACATTTTAACACAATTCCCAGGTGATTCTTATGTATACTAAATTTTGACAACCACTGCTCTACTAATGGTTCTCAGAACTGGTCCCTAACCAACAGCATCAGCATTGCCTGGGAAATTGTTAGAAACGCAAATTCTCAGCAGGGGTTTGAAATGGAATGAACCAAAGGAAACATGGCATATACTCAGTAGAAAAGAAAAATAATGAGATGGTAAAATTTATTCCCTGTTCTTTCCAATGATTAAAAAAGAGAGAGAGACTGTGTGTCTAGGAAACTTTAAATACCCTACATGTATTACAGACTGGCCCCTAAGATTCCTTAATGTACAATCTTTTTCTCATTAGTTTTCTTATTTTTTATTCATCTGATGACTTACTATACAAAGCAGCCTAAAACAAGCTACAAACTTGTTAATTTACCTGCA